TCTGTCTCGGTACAATGAAGCAAACAGAAAATATGGAAAGGGACTTCGGCCTGCGAACGCCAGCTAGGCTACCTCGTAAGTCCTTGGACTGAAGAGGGCCCCAGATCAACTACTACGGTGGTCCAAGAGCTGCTCCGGTACCGTAATCTGTACAAAAATCACAGAAGTGTAGCATCAGCACAACCGACCCGATGTGCTAGTAAGTGCCTGGCCTAACCCGGCGAAGTAGTGACGAGGCTAGACAGGACTACCAAGTCAACCTGTGCAGATATTTATATACAAGTACTACAAAGAAAAATAACAGCGGAAAGTAATAATTAAGACTGGGAGGGGAGCATACTTTTGGGAATAACAGATAAAATAGAACGGTAGGAACAAATAAGGGAAAATACAACCAAATCTCTTCTAACACAGAATACGTGGTCGGCGTGCCACACGATCCCAGTTCATGATATATAAGTGGTCGGCGTGCCACACGATCCCAGTTCATGATATATAAGTGGTCGGCGTGCCACACGATCCCATTTTATAATATATATGTGGTCGGTGTGCCACACGATCCCATTTCATAATATATAAGTGGTCGGCGTGCCACACGATCCCATTTCATAATATATAAGTGGTCGGCGTGCCACACGATCCCATTTCATAATATATATAATGATTTCCTGGCAAGGGAAACAAGTATCAATTCAACCATCCCGGCAAGGGAGAATACAAATAAACAGTTAATTCCCGGCAAGGGAGCAACAACAATCACTTACTCGTCCCGGCAAGGGAGTAATTACATCTCTTCCTCTTTCGTTCATTTCTTACGTCCTAATCGTGTCAAAATTCGAGCCAACGCTCCAAGGAGTTTACAAATCATATTTTTCTCTTCGTATTGTTCATATTATATTGAATCCATCAATTAAACAAGGAAGAGTCACCACGGAATCCCACATAAGCACAAGTAAGGACTCAAGGTCATGCTAGACACCGGTGTATAGATACTCGTCACCATGCCTATACACCGTACTCAACATTTAGCAATTATCAAATAATACTCTAATCCTATTCCCTCAAGCCAAAGTTAGATCAAACACTTACCTCGGTCCAAAGAATAGCAATCAATCCTCAAATACCGTTTCCTCTACAATCCGACTCCGAAACAATAGTATCTAGGCATACTTAATTCAATAATATCAATTAGGGCTCAACAACATAATCCCATAGCCTAGAAATGAGTTTTCTAGCATTCTTCCAAAAATACCAAAATTCGACACCGGGCCCACATGGTCCAAGCACGAGGCTCGGACCAAAACCCAATCACCCAAAACCCCACGAGTTCAAATATATAATTTGTTTTAAGATTCGACCCCAAATTGAGGTTGAATCACCCAAAATTCTCAAAACCCTAACTCTACCCAAAAGCCCTAATTTCTACTTTGATTTCATGATTTAGGGCTAGGAATTTAGTAATTAATAGAGAGAATTGAAGAAAACAAGTTGAACAATGCTTACCCAAGAAGTTTTGATGAAAGGGAACTTCAATGGACGCCTAAGTGCTTGGAGAAGAAAGGAGTTCGTGTATTTTTATTAAAAATCCCGAGCTAATGTTCTGTTTTTAACTTAAAAATTCGCTGGGCAAAATTGCCCTTTGCGTTCGATGGAGAGGGGCCGCGTTCGCGAAGGGTAAACTGGGTAAGATATCGCGATCGCGTGGAGACAGACGCGAACGCGTAGAAGGAAATTGCTGGGGTCCAGGAACTGTTATACGCGAACGCGACAGGCGAAACGCGAACGCGGTGAAGGGAGTCTGACAAGCTACGCGAACGCGGTCAAGTGTCCGCGAACGCGAAGAAGAAAAAGGGCTAAGCCCTCAGGGTCAGATGACTCTACGCGAACGCGAGGCGAGGGATGCGAACGCGATGAAGTAGAAGGCTAAAGCTACGCGAACGCGGAAGAGACCACGCGAACGCATAGAAGAAAAACACCTGCAACAGCTGAAACCAAAAAACTGCTACATTTCCTAAGTGTAAAAACACCCCGAACCACCTCTGAATCACTCCCGAGCCCTCGGGGCTCCTAACCAAACACACACACTAACACAACAACCTCATACGAACTTACTCGAGCGATCAAATCGCCAAAACAACATCAAAATCAATGCATCAAACCTCAAAATCATCATTTTTCATTCTAACTTCACAAACTTCAAACTTTAGATATTTAGGTCCAAAACACGCCAAATGACGTCCGTTTTCGACCAAACTTTACAGAAAGCGCTTAACACATATTTAAGACCTGTACCGGGCGTTGGAACCAAAATACGAGCCCGATACTATAGTCTTTTAATCAAATTTTCATTTCCATTTTCCTTAATAATTTCAGAAAAATAATTTCACAGAAAATTTCTTTTACTCGGTTTCTAGACCTTGGATTTCGACTCCGGGCACATGCCCGAGTCCCATATTTTTCTACGGACCCTCCGGGACCGTCAAATTATGGGTCCGGGTCCGTTTACCAAAAATATTGACCGAAGTCAACTTTAATCATTTTAAAGCCACATTTTGAAATTTTTCACAGAATTTAACATATAATCTTTCCGGCTACGCGCCCGGACTGCGCACGCAAATCGAGGCAACTAAAGGTGAGGTTTTCAAGGCCTCGGAAGCACGGAAAAAGAGAGAAATCCGGTGATGACCCTTTGGGTCGTCATAGGGGCAAATTGAAAATGCAAATAAAAAAAATATTATAGTATGCATTATAATGTAACGGTATATAGTATGCATTATAATGTAACGGTATACTCTTACAATTAGATCCTTTTAGAATTTTTTGAAATTTTTATTGACAACTGATATTAATTCAGTTTAATAATTGAATTAAATTTTTTTAACTCTTTGCGTACAATTGTATACCCTATTGGTATAGCTATATACTATACTTGTATCATATGCTAGTTAATATTTTTTGGTTGTATTAGCTACATTTAATTGATACACAATTTGAATTTTTTTTATTAATAGTATAAAAAATAGAATAATAAAAAATAGTAAAAACAGTAAATGAAATTAGATTATGAAGAGAAAAAGAATATAAAAAAAAGAAGTTAAATAAAATTAGAAAGGGACAAAAGAAAAGAATAAGAAGAAAACGAGAAAAAAGAAAAGGAGAAAAGAAAAAAAAGAAGAAAAAAAAAAGAAGCATAGAAATAAAAAAGAATTGGAGAATAAAGAAAAAAATTCCCCACAAAAACTACTATGGGTAGGAAATGTAATTAGTTTATGGGTAAAAAAATAAATGAGTAGACAAGAGTAAATGGATTTATTTTTGTGGGCTCTTATCAGAATGAGATAACACGCTAAACTTATTTTTTGCGTTTTATTTTACATGGAAGTATTTTAGTGAAAAATTAAATTAAAGAAAGAAAGAGAACTTTTTGACAAATAAGCTAAATGTGTAAAGCATATCATTAATGCCCGTAGAATCTTATGGTCCTAAATATGTTACATAATTCATATGATTATATGAAAGAGCAACATTACGGATAAAATAGAAATACTCAAACTAATGAGTTTTCAAATGCAGAGTGATATTCGTTTTGCAAAGGACTAAAAATGAAGAGTTTTTTTTTTTTTTTTTTTAACTAAAAATGAAGAGTAACATACTAAAAAAGAAAAAAAAAAGGTGTTCCTGTATGTAAAGGTTAGCTATGTTTGACAAGCGAAACTTGTGGGATCCAAAATCTTACATTACCCAAGATTTGACCCTCAAACTCAGGTCATAGGCGGCCCTACCCTAAAGCAAATAAAGCGACGGCTTTGGGCCCCACATTTATGAGGGCTCCATTTTTGTTACACCTAATATATTATATACTCTCCCTATGTTTCAATTAGATGAATATGTTTGACTCGTCACGGATTTTAAAAAAAAAAAAATTAAAATTTATAGTCTTAAAAGCTTAAAGGGTAAAATGATTTGCAACTAGTATGATTTTTTCCAAGGAAATTGCATCTGATATTAATATCAAACCCGAAATTCCTAAGGAACGTGTAGTATATAGAGAAAAAAAATTTGACAAGAATATTGATTTTGAAATCTCAAAATATCTCGAAGAGTCTTTCAGAGTTAATTACTTTTTATACATAGTAGACAAGACTATTTTTTCACTTCAAAACAGATATGAATAATTCGAAGCATATGAAAATATTTTTTTGTTTTCTATTTTGCGTATACATTTGAGATCACTAGATGATAAAAATTTGGAAAAATATTGCCTTAATCTTGATGTTCCTTGAAGCTTAATAATCAATCCGATACTGATGGTTTAAATTTCTTTTCTAGATTAAAAGTGTTAAAGAAAATAGTACAACTAGAAAATAACAGTTTAATTGATATACTCAATAAAGTAAATTTTTTGTGATTCATTTCCAATTCCCTCCATTGCTTATAGAATAATGTTAATAAGTCCTGTTACCGTTACTTCAGCAAAAAGAAGTTTTTCGAAATTAAAATTAATAAAATCTTAACTAGGCTCAATAATGTCTAAAGAGAGGTTAAATGGATTAACTATACTGTCAATTGAGAAAGAATTATTAGAAAAAATTGATTATAAAAAAATTATTTATAACTTCGCATCTAAAAAAACTAGAAAAAATGGACTTAAAATTAAAAAATAATAATTAAAAAAAATTAAGGCTCCCGCATAAAACTTGGCTTTAGGCCACAAAATTTGTCGGGCCGCCCCTGACTCAGGTGTAGACAGTAAGGAAAACTTAGCTCCTGAAGTTTTGTTAATTATGCCAAGGTTATGGCTAGCCGAGGGTCTGCCGGAAACAACCTCTCTGCCTTCTTAAAGGTGGGGATAAGGTCTGCGTATGCTCTACCCTTCCCAGTCCCCACTTGCGGGACTATACCAGAAATTTTGGATATAAACTACAGCAATAGACAATAGATCAAATAAAGCAGTAATAACCTGTTTGCTCTCTCAATCCATACCTAACAATAGAATCAAATGGATAACAAATAAAGAAGTCTATTCTGAAGATGAAGAACATACAAAAATTAACTGCAATTAAATGGAGGTGCATAATATGTACTTTTTTGAAGTCCTTGCTGTTCAACAACTTGCAATGAAATATTTAAATCAACACCAGAGAACCAGACATCTTTAATGTCTGGATCTCTGATGTTGATATCGCGTCGAAATATATTCTAATCTATCATACAAATGCATCAAATTAAAAAAAATTACCACACTAAGTGAACCAATTCAAATGATCAAGAATGAAAAGAAGTTCCAAATTGCATTTGCCACTCCATACAATCTTCAAAATCAATGCTGCTCGCGCAGTCCAGTAAAGCGTTTTGTTGTTGCTCAAACCGGCAAATGTAGTTTAATCCAACAAGCAGCTCGCAAATTACTGCCTCCATCTTCTGACAATCAGCAAAATATAATGTCTGAAGAAGGAGAACATTAGTTCTCTTAACAATCTGTTGCTGCTCAAAATTTCGCTCGCTTTGCCACCTGATCATATTATGTGCTAAAGGCGCGAGCCATTTGAGTAACTCTTCAAGCCTATCTTTCCAATCGTGGGCAAGAGGCGCGTCATATATGGCTAAACCTTTCATATATGATCTCAGACTAGACTTCAAAGTCTTTCTTAAGCTTGTCGGTAACATCTGATATAGATCATCCCTCCCTTCGTCGCCTACCAGATGTGGATACTGGAGCAGCTTTTCTATGACAATAATCACATTTGCATAATGTAAAGCTAAAGCACGGCCTCCAACTGTTGTAGGAGGAGCATACAACAACGTTACCCTACTTTTGGGACCATGTTTTGCAGCATCGGACACACAACTCTTTAACTGTCTAGCATTTTCGTTTAAACGGATACTGCTAGGAGACCTATTGAAAGAACCTGAAATATTAGATTGCTCCCTTTTCGTACCACTTGAAACACTACAACATCCAGATATCTGACTACTTCTATCATCAGTCTCAAGATCGTTCTCAACATCCGTTTTTGAAGCAGAACTCAAACTTAGACATTCCATGAATAGCCTCCCAGGTCCCATTCCACAAGCGAAATTAAAATTCTCGGACCCAAATAAGCTCCCTTCGTTTCTTCCAACCTTTGTTAAAGCATTGTGGCCCGTGCTCCTCTTTCCTAACGCTCCTCTCTCAATTTGCCCCGAGTGACACCTACCGTTGCTATTCCTCAAAACAGACTTCTTGAAATCAGAATTCACGACTTCAGACCTCTCACTGGAGTCTCGCTTCAGCTGCTGCAAACCGCCACTGCAACCAATTTTCGAGCCTGCAGCTGGATTTAGAAGGTCCCTCTTTACAAGGGCATTCCCAAACACGCTACTAATCCGAGCATACACAGTACACACAGTCCTTGCCAATAGTTCAACAACTTTATCATAAGTCTGGTTCCAAAGTGAAACATCTTCTAAATGCTTCACATCTTGTTTCTGCCAAGCCAACTTCTGTTCATACGCTTTTCGACTCTCCTCATGTTGATTCTGCTGAAATTTCTTTGTTGCCATTTCCAATTCATTCAATACAGCCATTTCACAATACAAACTAGCTGTTGAATTCACATACCTCTCCATTTTCTTTACCATTCCCTCCATATCCTTAACTAAAAATCCCAAATCTTTCACATCAATTACCCCACAAATAATATCCCCATATACATGTTCAAAACCTTGTAAAGCACTAATTGTACATTTTTTACCAAGTCTAGACACTACACTAGCAACCCTATTTAAGTCATCAAGTTTTTCAACAAGTACTAATTCTAATAAAACATCTTCATCTTCAGAAACTAAAGCCCTTACTCCTAAAGACTTAAAGATCTCATTTTTAAGCTTTAAAATCTCAGAATCAGTTAAAGATTTATGAAGATGAATAATTTTAGACATCATATTAGCTACTTCAAATGATAATATCCCTATAATTTGCTTCTCTACTTGGCTTTGGCTTTGGCTTTGGCTTTGTTTCTTAACAGATACTAATTTCTTTGAATTTTCTATAAGTAAAGAATGTTTTTTTACATTAGTACTTACCTGATTTCCCATTCTTAAACACCAAGGTTCAGCCACCATTTTTGAAAAGTGAAATGGGGTTTTTAACAGATCTGTAAAAGAAGGGTAAAAATCACGAAAGTTGAAGTGGCTATTTTTGTAATGGAAATGTTGAGGGAATGAGTGGATAAAAGAGGGAAATTTGGAAGTGGGTTCATTGATTTGGTGCTGAAAAAAGTGGGAACAATGTAGATGAGTCAAGAAATGCGCATGGTTTGTGGGAAAAAATGTAATTGATTTGATACAAAAGTGAAGTAGTGAAGAATGAAATTGAGTGGTTTTAAAGAAGAGAGGCTATTTTTGCAAAAGAGGAGTTGCTCTGCGTGTGAGAATTTGTAATGATTTTTTTGAAAAGGCAATGGCAGTTTTGAAGAGGAAGATGAAGCCAAAGCTGAAAGCCTTACTCTCCCCCCCCCCCCAAACCCAACCACCCCACCCCTCCTACCAGTACCATAATGTCACAAATAAATATAAAAAAGAAAGAATATACAATTTGCCAATACAAAAATTTTAGCTAATGTTTGGACATAAATTTGATTAAAACTTGAGAAAAGAGTTTTTGAAATTGTGTTGAAAAATAATTTTTGGAAGTCGAAATTGCTTTCATGCATTTTTTTTAAAAAAACTTTGTGAGCGGAAGAAAAAAATTCACTAAAAAACTGAGGCAGCTTTTGGGAACTTGAAAAAATTTTAAATTTTTTTTTTTCAGAAGCTGATCATATACTATGACCAAATAGTGTTTTCAAAAAAATTTAAAAAAATATACCAAAAATCTATGACCAAATAGGTGCTTAATATCGAGTGGTCTCCCTCCTTAGAATATAACAATATATTAAGATAAATATTTTACTAGTAAAAAAAATTCAAATTCAAAAAGTGTCTAACAAACTAAAAAGAGAAGAATTAATGATAGTCATATAATACCTTGGTTGGTTATATTTTCTTACTTCAAATAATTTTTCTCCTTTACTTGGGTGAACAAAATTGACTCTATGAATTTACTTCACGAGCCTTATCGTATTCATTTCTATGAGTTTTTGTACCATTTGAAAAGGAAAGTTTGCACCCCCCCCCCCCTTCCTTTCCCCCACACCCCAAATAAATAAATAAAATAAACAAAAAAAATTGAAGCTACCTCAGCTGTATGCATTAATAACACATGGAGAAATTCAATATGGTGTTGTAAAAATCATCTTTCGTGTTTTCCTAATTTATGGGGATTAAGAACAAGCAAGATAAGGAAGGTTAAGTTGTAACACTCTTTTGTGTAAAGTTATCTCTGTGTAACCTATACAGGTCAAAGGTTCGAGTCGTGCACTCCGTCATCGGTACTTGCATAAGAATAGGTTGCCTACATCACACCCTTTAAAATGTGGCGCTTCCTCAAACCCTGCATGAACGCGAAATACTTCGTGCACCGAGCAACCCTTTTTTCTCCTTTTGTATAATAGGCTGTTTGGCCAAGCTTCTTTTTGGCTAAAAGTGCTTTTTTTGGCCAAAAATTGAGTTGTTTGGCCAAGCTTTTGGAATGAAAAAAAGTGCTTTTGAGGAGAAGCAGAAGCAGTTTTGGAGAAGCAGAAAAAAGTAGCTTCTCTCCAAAAGCACTTTTTTGAGAAGCACTTTTGAGAAAAATACACTTAGAAGCGGTTTTTTAAAGCTTGGCCAAACACTAATTGCTGCTCAAAAGTGCTTTTCAAACTAATTAGCTTAACACAAACTGCTTCTCACTAAAAGTACTTTTGAGAAAAACACTTTTAAAAAAAGCACTTCTCAAAATAAGCTGATTTTTGCAGCATGGCCAAACGAGCTATAAGTCTTTCATGTTATGATAGAAAGAGTTTAGCTAGTACACTGTGATAGATAGTAAAAGAATATTTTTATTATTAAGTCATCAAAAAGATAATTACAAGTAACAATTAACAAAAATTTAATTGGTAACTTGAAAAATAAACCAAAAGTAAATGTGTTACAATAGGTTAATTATATAGTGAATTTTTTTAATACATTATCAATGTAAATCCAATGACAAACATGTTCCATATTGATATTGATTAAAAAACTTTAGTACAAGAAAGTCTTTTTTCCAATGAGATTCAATCCAAAATGTAAAGGAACATGTTTGAGTAATAATTGCAATTTTCATAATTTTCCGTATCTTACTCGATAATACTGTGTTATTTTTAGTTAGCATAAATTAGTGAAACTAATTGATTGTGCTCCAAATTTGAGTGGTGATTATAAGAAGATTGAATAGAAATTGTTTGTCTTTATTTATGGGCAATTTATTGTGAATAATATGCATCGTCAAATATATAACCAACTGGACCAGTATTAATTATTGCTATAATTATCTAGATACAACTACATGGAATACAGAGAGAAAAAAAGGATTAATTTTTATTGAAGTTCAGCGTATATCCGCTGGTATTTTGTTTAAAGAAACAATAAATTTGAGTGTGTTACATGGAAAAAATTTGGTAAAAATTAAATTCTTTTAAAATATTTAAAGTTTTAAATAAAACATCAAAGAGAAAAAGAAAAGTTAGTTTAGACAAATAATTGTATCATTAAATCTATTAAATACTATTTTTAATGTGTGAACAAGAAGAATAAAAGAGAGAGAGAACAATTTTTTGAATTTAAAAATAAGTTATTTGACTTCAGATTTGAAAATCTTAGGGAAAAACAAGGAGAAGTGCACTTTATCGAAGAAGAGTGTGAAACAGTAATTTTCATGTGTTATTTTCCCAGGAATAAAAGCCTCAAAGTAACTAACAGGATTTGTAGTAGAACAGTAAATACTCTTTTATCCTTAATTAAAAATTTCAAGTTCAAATTCTGGGTATGAAGTCGTCTCTGTTAGAGAACGTTTACCCTCAATGTAGTATTTTTCGATGCAAATCTAAATTTAATCGGACCCCAATACGAATACTTTGAGGATTAAAAAAAAGCCTCAAAGTCAAAAATTTAGTGGTGAGTGAAGGGTGCCATTTCCAAAGTCAAAGCAGCACAATTTGAAGAAGGGAACAAAAATGTAAGTAGTATGTGATGTAAAAATCTCAATCATGATTATGGAAAGTCAAATAATCCAAAAAAGAGCACTGCATTACAAACAAAGCCTGCTGTTTTACAGTGGCCAAACAACTTGTACTTCCTTTTGGCCAATTTACCTTTGGATCTGAACTCAAGAAAAGGTAAAATATTTATCCGGTTGTTACCAGATAATCAATGAATATAAAAAAAAATATGTCCTGCATATACATAGGTATCATTTAACTATAGTAAAATATTTATATATTTTTACTGTAAAACTAAGGATATTTACATTAAACTCTACAAAGGCTTTTTAAAATATTATTTATCCTTTCTTCGAAAATATATGTTTCTTAACTTTCAAGAGTTACTTAAAATTATTTTTTTACCAAATTTACATGATTATTATATTCCAAAACAAATATTTTTTCAAGTGTAGCTTCAAAATATCAAATTATTTTTCTCAAATAATAATTTTATTTATATCAAATAGTTTATACCAATATCAATCAACTTAACTCGTGTAAATCACAAAGTAACAAACAATATGAAACGGAATAACATACGAGCTTCACATGTCAAGTCTTTAAAGTAAAAGTTGAGCAAGAAAAATGAACAGCCATACTAGAAAAATAGTGATTGATAATAAGACATACTATCAAAGTGTACGGTGGAGTAGTAAGTACTTCTTCATTCGAACTTTAGTTATGAAGTTATTATTAGTAGAGAACACTTTACTACCCCAAAATGGGTTTTTTTCCTGTACGAATCTGGTTTAATCAGGTCTCAATATGGATATCGAATACAGGGTGACAAACCAAAACAAAAGATAATGAGATGAAAAGATGGTATACTATTATAGCACGAAAAGACTAGAGCCCTTCTAACATCTCAATCAAAGTAGCTCATTAGCTTTTTAGATGGGGCATTTGAATTGGATTTGGTAAGTTATGGTTCAATATTACAAGGTGTAAAGACAAATCTTGAGAAAGAAACTTGACTAAATAATTTCAAAAAGATGGAAATATAGTGGGAGTTGTTAACATTGTTTTCCTAAAGACAAAATCTTTATTCAAAGACAAGCAAACAAAGACAAAAAGAGAAAACCTGCCCAACTAGCCCACCTTGAGTAAATGTGGGTTTGGTTTAACTGTCTTTTAGTCTTTTAGATACCTTATATTTTCCACTCTTGCATAAACATCACGATTGCTTTTAATGTTTTCTTCTTTATTTTTGTTTGGTTCTTTTGTCCCAAAATTTTCTTGGGTCGACCACACATGTGAAATGGCCATATGGAATAGACTACAAAGCAATAACGTACTCGGACAGCCCGATGCACTAAACTCTTGTTATTTACGGGTTTCGAATAAGAGCCGGATCATAAGGGTCTATAGTACGCAACGTTATCCTACATTTCTGCAAGAGACTGCAATAACATATACAGTATAGTTTTACAAATAGAATTTGGGGAGGGTGGGGTATATGCGTACCTTACCTCTATGTTGTGAGAGATAGAGAGACCGTTTTCAATAGATTTTCAGCTCAAAAAAAATATTTTTTAAATCGGGTTGAACAAATATGACTAAAAAGTTATGATAAAAATACTGTAGAAAGGGAAGGAAAAGTACTGTCAGTAAAAGTAGTAAAAACTCTCAAATAAAAGAAACATCAGTAATAAATTTGAAAAATAAGACAATAATACAATAATAATAATGATATTAATAAGCAGAAGAGCAAATAGGGTGCTCTAAACTATAACCAAGTTCTCCCACAGAAGATGGAGCAAATAATGATACTGCTAGTGCTAACAATCACACAACTACCTACTAATCATCTATTCTAATCACTCAACACTGTTTGTCTAAACTTGACACAACTCTTATTTTGTTTTCTAACTCTTCTTATTTTTTGTGACACTTGTAAACTCAAGAATACAGTGTTTGTACTAAGAAATAGAAAAATATAGAAACGGGTATTAAGTTGCGTGTCTTTTTCTTCTATCTTCCAGCCTTCTTATATGAGACTCTTGAGATCTTGTAACCTTCTTTTTGAACTAGTCGTTGCAGATTGACCATCGACTGAAGCAAAATTATTCTAAGAAATTTGATCCAAGGGTTGCCTCTGGCTCCCGCTGACAAGATGGGTTGGATTCAATGATATTCTTTCCTTCTCGCGTCCCTGTTATATAAGAGCGATTTGCTACTTGGCGTGTGTCACGACCCAAAAATCACTGGTCGTGATGGCACCTAACTCGATCCGCTAGGTAAGCCAACTAACAAAAAATACAATCCAAATGAGATTATAGGAAAAATAGAGAAGAATTATCTGAAC